CACTAAACATCTTCTAATACAACAAATCTCTGAATATCTATCTAACTAAAAAATAACCTAACAACAGCCTGAGGAAGACATCCTGGCTACACTAACATCTTCTAATACAACAGATCTCTAATCAATATCTATCTAACTAAGAAATTACCTAACATCCTATAGGCTTCCTCTTTAGTACTGTTAGGTATTTTTAGTCAGATAGATATTGGATAGATACTTTATGTATTAGAAATGTTTAGTGGAGATAGGATGTCTAGTTAGACTGTTAAATGCTTAGTCATGCTTATGAGTTTCTACAGGGTACATCTGGTCAAGGATAACTAGAGAGAAGAGTTGATGACTGTCAGCAGACAGGATGTTTAATATTATTATTATGACGTGTATAACTGTAGCCTTAGCCATAATATGTTCTTATGTTTAATATCACGACATGTTACTAGAGGTCGTGAGAGAATGTTTTTAGCTACACACCACTTAATCAACAGACACACACACATTGATTTGCTTCATGTTTTGACTACTGCTATGGCCAGCTGCAAAGCTGGCAACAGAGACGTCTCGGTTGACGTTTCTGTGTAGTATAGGGCTAGCCCAACCGAGGGGATATAATGTATAGGCCTGGTGGGTTCAGGGTCTTTCATCTTACATCTGCCTGCATGCAGTTTGGAGGTGCAAGATACCTGAGCGTGTAATGTTAATTTTACCTGTGATCCTTTGAATAAATCAGCACTGTTTTGAAGTTACTTGGACTGTCTCGTCTCTCAGCGTTAGCAATGGTAACAAGAACCAAAGACCAACAGTACAGCAAAGCTGCTTAAGTTTTGCCGTGGGCCAGGGCTTGTTGGTGTTGTATGTGCGAGGAGGCTCTGACACTGCCTCCTCGACCCATGCCACTGTTCTGACCACAGGCTTTGCAGTTTTGAGTTTCTGCCTATAGGTCAGGATGAGGTGTATCATGCAGTGGTCAGAGAGTCTGAGGGCTGCAAGGGGGACAGAGTGATAGGTGTCCTTAATTACAGTGGCCCAGTGTGTTTTCGTCCCTGGTGGGACAGCTGACGTGCTGTCTGTATTTGGGTAGTTTGTGGGTTAGGTTAGCTCTGTTGAAACTCCCCTAAGACAATGAGTAGGGAGTCTGTTTCATGTTAATTAACTGTTTGGCTAGGAGCAGCTGGACATTTTTGGTTCCAAAATGGTTTGCAGTTGATGGATAGTGCCCCTAAGTCTGTGTTACAAGTTTTCTCTGACACCGTGATATCGTTACACCAACCTTCGTTTATGTAGAAGCAGTTGTAAGACCTGCACACTTGCACTTCTCAGACAGTGCTTTCTAAAACAATCCTTGCTTTTAAGCTACCACTTGCAGGCCATAAACCCATTATAGCCCTGAGTTGAACATATCTAATTGATGGATTTTGGGGGTCAAGCCTTGCAGAAGGTGTAACGTGTTTAAGGCAAGAGCAGACTTATGCTTTCATACTGTGATCCTTACAAATACAGAACATTGTGTTTCACTTCGTTTCTTATTTTTTATTTAGCTAATTTTACCTTGTCCCCCGCCTCTGGAACCAAACCCTCACTCTTGATTAAGTGCTGATTAAAGCTGTTTAGTGAATTCTCCATCATGTCTGTGTAATTTGTAATACTGTGTTAATGTAATGTTACAACTGTGGATTTCTAATCAGAGAAACTCAGGTTTGTTACTTCTACAAACCAGCTGTTCTCATTTTCTTAATTCTGTGCTTTTACATTTTAACTTCAATTTGTATATCAATACATTTTATATATTCTACTCATATATTAATATAGCTCAGGCCTCTTCTCTAAGTCTGTCACATCTTTATTTATGAGCCCTGTTGTTAAAGTTTATTATTGTTGGTCTTTACTCTAGTTCCTTGCTGATTTCTGGGACACTGATAACATACCATTGTTCCCACTGTGCTGAAACCTGTAGCCTGTGTGTCTTAAGTTTCTTGCTGATTTAGGTGCGCACACCTTCCCCCTTTATTGTGCTTTGGTTGAGCATGATGTCTTCTACTTCTGCTGTGAATCATAGTCACATTGTGATCTCTGAGTACAGCACAGACTGAAAGTCCTGCCCCACATATGAGCACCAAACTTTAATTTAGGAGTTTGCCCAAGCATAGTATCAATATTACTTTAAAACTAAATTTTGACACTTTTTAGGGCAGGATGTAGTTTTAGGTCCCAATGAACCTGTCAACACTTTGTTCACTATGCTAATCTCAACTTGTTAATGACTGAACAAGCTTCAATGAGGGAACTAAAATGTATTTGTCATGTCCTGGTATGACCACAGAACTGTTACTTAATCCCTAACTTTTTAAATTTGCTAATGTTATTGAAAAACAGATTTGAGTCATGTCAACTTCACAAGCACATGGCACAACATGGAAAAGCCACATCCTCAGGACAAGACTAAAGTTCATTTTCATTAGAAGGGCAGGTGACGCTTCTTTGAAGACAACAATGTACACATTTTAGATAGAGAAAAAGTTTGAAAGAAGCCATCTAACTAGAATGACCAGCACTAAACAGTGAAAGTGGTCTATATAACACCACTTACAATGCAGTCCTGACATCCTTCCCAAAGCAATTTAACACCCTTCCACACCTTGTCTCATGTGACCCTAAGGACCTGCATAATGGCTAGGTGGATTTTAATGACCAACATGTGATTTCTTTGGACCTCCAGGTGTTAACGACTCCACAAACGCTTAATATCTGGGACTCCCCAGTCAGAAAAGAAGCTTATGCTCTGCTGTAGCATATAAAATCAACCAAAGGTCATAGCACTCTAAAGGTTGCCTCACAATGTTTTATTCTTTAAAAAAATCACATGGCTGGAAAAAACAGGTTTCAGCATAACTGCCTTCTTCATTATAGTGAACTAACACCACAACAAAGGCATTTCTCCCTACCCCTTGTGATCAGCACAGGTAAAACTAATTCGTGCTGCGTCATGACAAGCAAGCAATCTACACAATTCATTACAAACAGGAAAACACACACAAATCATATATATATACATACACACACAAAAAATAACTTCCATCTGCTAATGTGCTATACAAATGGTTTTGTACAAATGTTTTGCCTTGCCTTGCTTAAAATAATTTAAAAAAAAACAGAGGATGAGCTCATGGCGCAGACCGTCCCACTTCCGGGCAGTGACGTAACGGTCCGTAGCGTTATTAGAGCACGCTCAGGCCACATTTCACCATTGATCCACTTGCTAACGGACGGGAAAGGTTACCTGCTTCAACAGTGCTTGAACGGCAACCCTTCAGCTGTCTTCGGGCATTATCGCTTTGATTTCCATCGACAATATATCAAATCAAATTTGTTAGCTTTAAACGACACCTAAGTCGATTATCCTAAACCCTTTTAACTCGGTAACTTACTAACGCTTTGTTTTACTAGCAACTCGAATAAGACTCGACCTTCTCACAAGAAAACCTGCCACTGAAAATTGGTAAGAATATATCTGTTTGCCTTTTCACACGTATCGTTGTTTGCTTGCCGTTGACGCAGTTATCTGCACTGGCAACTGTGTAAATGATGGTGCATCTTTGACATAGTGTAACCTCTAGTGGTACTGGTGCGGCTTGTCTCCTGGCCGTGGCGACCGCCATCTGGCCTTGGCGCAGTTGGTTCTCCAACGTGAGCGCCATCTCAGGAATCCCGAACAAAGCTAGCCACGTTTATTTTTGTTTTGTTTATCTCAGCGGTACAGTCATAATTTAAGCGTTACCTCAATTTTTGAGCAACTATACCGTTATGTTTAAATGTTTTTAAAAGTTGTAGCGATTCTCAGTAATTTTTTTTTATTTTTTTATTTTATTGTCCTTGACAAGCTTTCGCATTGCGCAGCAAAACAACTCTGCCAATCCCAGTGGTATTAATTTGTGAAATGGCCTGGTGCAATGTGACGCCAGACCTTTGAAAATATACCCAAGTCTGTTAGAAGTTCAGTTAATTGACAAAAATAACCTGCAAATGTTTTTTAAAACTGGTTTAGAAGAAAATAATTTAAGGTTTTGGCCTTTTAATTGAGCAGCCCTAGTTAGGGCAAAATATTTAGGAGTCACTAAGCTTGACAGAGTACTGGTTTTTAAACTGAATTACTATGCCAGTTTAAATTGGAGAAATAAAAACTACAAAAGGAACCAGAATCACTTGTAAAACAATTCAAATGTTTATAGTACAATAAAGAAAAGCAGTAACTGACCATTTAGTTTTAACTGTATTGTCAGTTGTCATAAGGTCATGCATCGCTATGGACTTGACTTGTTTATCTAGTAAAGTTTGTTTTGCTGTTTTTAGAGCTATGAATTCCCAGGTGAGACAGAACTTCCACCAGGACTGCGAGGCTGCAATCAACAGGCAGATTAACCTGGAGCTGTATGCCTCCTATGTCTACCTGTCTATGGTGAGTCACAACAGGTGGAGTGGTAAGCCTAGGGAGGAACAACTGTTGCTAAAAGGGGTAGGAGTGCTCAGTGAAATGGGAACTGTCAGCTATTCAGCTAATGATATTATTGAGAAGTGATTGTAATTCCTGTTAAATACAGTATTCATGAAGCTGTTGTTGCGTGGACTCGTGTATTGTGCTCACACAGCAGTGTGCTAAAATCTTCAGGTGGACTGGGAAGCAGTGGTCAGGCCACCTCCTGTCATAAAATTTACCAAAGTGCAGCCCTATTGTATAAGAATGTGTGAATGAGTTTTTGTCTGCTTGATAGCATGTTTGAAATGAGTGGCCAGAGTAAAGGTTGAAGTTTGCTGTGCAATTATTTACAGGGAGAGGGCATGGAGTGCATCACCTATATAACTGCTTTCATCCACTGAGCCTCAACATGGTTGTATAAAGAAATGCATTATGTGGTGCAGTTTAGGATTTTCTGCTTAATGAAATTAAGGTTTAAATGTCATTTCTAAAAGTTGTACATTATATTTGTATCACTTAGCTGTTGTGTACTGCAGAACAATATTACTGATTAACATTTGCATTTTTGAAGTGGTACTGATCTCTCACAAACATGGTGTTTGTGCAACATTTTGTCATTGTATGAGAAAGGCATTCACTCCTCACAACAAAATAGAAGCGGATTTTTAACATTTGGTTTTGAGCTGTGCGGGGTAACTTGCTATCTTGGCCTTGTGTAAGGTTCAGCCACATTTCATTACTTTCTGTGTCACCTGAAGGAAATTGCTAGTCAAATGCCAATATTCTTCCCCCTCAGTCATACTACTTTGACCGGGATGACCAGGCATTGCCCAACTTTGCCAAGTTCTTCCGTCATCAGTCGCATGAGGAGCGTGAGCATGCTGAGAAGCTGATGAAACTGCAGAACAAGAGGGGTGGAAGGATCTTCCTACAAGATGTCAAGGTATTTATTGTGTATGTGTGTGAAGTAATAAACAGTTGCTTTTTAACGTAAGCACTGGGTTATCATCAGGCACATGTTGGGAGGGCAAAAGATACTGAGGGTGTGCATGCACTGTGCTTATCTTGGACCAACTCCCAGAGCTTGAGTAAAAACTGTAGAAGCACTTGGAGCGGGATGTTGCTCATAAGGTTGGCCTCCTACCTCATGTCTCACTGATCTGCTTTACTTTGCAGAAGCCAGAGAGGGATGAGTGGGCCAGTGGTGTTGAGGCCCTTGAATGTGCCCTGCAGCTTGAGAAGACTGTGAACCAGTCGCTGCTGGACTTCCACAAGCTCTGCACGGATCGCAATGACCCACATGTGAGTGTGCAACTGTGGCTTGATGGCTGCAAGCAGCATAAAACACTTATTTGCCTCACATTTTAAAGAATTTTCAAGTTAAAATATTAACAAGTAATCTGTTCTGATCAATTACCTCATGCATACCCACAGTGTTGGCCTGTTTTTATAAGACTGAAAATACTTTGATCTGAGCACAAGCACTTAAAAGCTGCAGGTTCTTCTCATGGCTTGCAAGATATGAAAATATCTGCATACTTTCATGTGGTATTTGTACAGTGCATCTGAGGAGTAGCAGATGGCTGACTTGAATCTAGTGACTAATACATGTATCATGGTGCTATAACAAACTTTTGGTTTAATGGGTAATGAAACAAGAGTTGGTTCTGTCTTTTTTTAAGTTTAAGGTCTAATTTTAATTTTGACTTGCAGCTGTGTGACTTCATCGAGACACACTACTTGGAGGAGCAGGTGAAGTCCATTAAAGAACTGGGTGACTGGGTGACCAACCTGCGTCGCATGGGGGCTCCACAGAATGGCATGGCAGAGTACTTGTTTGACAAACATACCCTGGGCAAAGAAAGCAGCTAAACCCACCAAATTACATTTACAAAAGCCTCTATACATGTATATTTGTATCTTGGCTAGTGAATATTTGCAGCCATGAAGCCATCTGCATGGTACTGGCTAGCCACTTAAACCTTAGTCCTGTTTTGATCGCTATTTCCTGCACATTGTACTTCAGTTTACTCCTGTGAGCTATTGCATTCAAAGCAGAGTCATGTATCTTGTCCTTTTGTCATCGCTGTTTCAGGCCAGGAGCTGTTAATTTAGCCAAATAAATCAAACCCTCTGGATTCTGGTTGTCTGTTTGTTTGGGTTTTTTTTTTCTCTCCCCAAAACTGAAATGAGTAAACAATGAAGCTACTGCACTGACAAATGGTCACTTTCACTTCTTGGTCTTAACTGAGAAAACAGAAGTAGACCATCAACTGACATGTAAAGTCCCAACAGTGGGCAGTAAACAATGTGTAGAACACCCACTGTATGGGTTTTTTTTTTCCCTTTGCAAATGTTTTCCTTGAGCTGACTGAAACCTGCTAGGTAAAGCACTCCTCACTGATAATCTGTTTATCTGACTGTGAAGACAATTACTGTTTTCCAGAGCCTGTGGCCACTGACATATACTCCATACGTTCAAAATAAGTAGCTTGGACTAATCATATCATTTAGCTTACATCTCATTTTCTGATGTTGGTTTATGCTGTTTCCTTAAATTTGAAAGACCACAGGCCAGTTGTCTTTTGACCCATGTAGATAGTTTAAAAATGAAGTCTGAGTAATTAACTCAAGGAAAAAAGAGGTTTGACTCGACCTGTGTCACCAGTTACACAGGTTTCATCAGGCACAATGATGCTGTCCGGTTGGTACCGTCATGCCCTTGTGACCTACAACTATAGCATCAGTGCTATTGTCTGTTTTTACCTGAAATACATGTAGATCTTGGATTTTTGACCAACTATATTGTGCTGCACACAACACACCATAAAACATTTCCAATTTGTTTCACTTGAGGCTTTTTCATATAAAAAATGCCACCCTGTTTGAAGACTTGGCCCATACAAGTCAAGATGTCTTTCAATTCAGCCCTTCATTCTGGAATCTGCAAATTTAAAATGGGCATGAGTTTATGTAAAACTTTCCCAACCATTGATAATCTGTAAAATTGAATGAGAACACAATGTTGCCAGTTGACTTTTTAAATACTTGAACTGTGACAATGAAATGAGTTTCTCCCTGACGCCTACAACGTCTAATCATCCTGCTGTAGGTGTGGTGCAGGACAATGGGAGTGCCTTGACATGAACTGGCATTACACTTGATAGAAACCATGAAACACACCACGCTATTAAAACAGGACAGACTGAAGCAGAGCTGGACCATCAACTCGGAGGCACCTTTCTGACCCAAGAAGCTTAAGTGATGTGAAGAGCAACATTACAAAATCAGCACTGGTTAAAGCGATGATTAAACTGTAGAATATATGTGAATTAATAGCTCCCACAATCCCTGTCAGACAGAGCTATTCATGCTGCTTCCAGCTCGACCAACACACCGTCACAGTCTTTAGGATGAAGAAACATCACTGGTTTTCCATGAGCACCTATTCGGGGCTCTGCTGACAGAGTTCTGATGTTCTTTGCCTTCAGGTCGGCTATTGCGGCATTAATGTCATCTACCTGCAACAAAGAGGAAAATCACCTAGTCCGGCACACTGCATAATACAGATCTTTAAATGCAGAGTAAAATATAAAATACAGAAAGAGTGCTGTATTCTTACTGAGGTTTAAAATGTGCAACTTTAAACATGTCACAGAAACAAACATATGGCACACTAAGCTATCTCTCTCAATCCTCTGGTAACACTAGTACATTCTTAATAAGCACTGAAGGCTTGTGCACAACCTCTGCAGCCAACATCATCATACATTTGAAGTCGTTTGGCTGACAATAATTTGGAGACCCACTATTAGTGGAATTTTGAGGCCAACACCAGTGTTTATATTTGAGAGTTCAAAAATTGTGATAACTTGTTTTTGACAAAACACAGATAACACCAGCAAGCCTTCAGACATGTATGGAGTGTGACATTTTAAGACAACTTGTTAGTGCTCTCTGGTGGACAAACTATGTACTTTTAACATAGCAAACATCTAGTTGAACTCTAAAGAGAAGTGATTCAAAATGCTCTAATATTCCCTTATGCTGTACGGAACACAAACTATGACAACACAGTAAATCTTTTACTAAAAGATAAAAGCTGGAATTCACTGTAAAGCTCTGTAGTCTCCAGAGATAACCTCTGGCTTAAAATGGAACAGGGTGTTTGTTCCACACATGTGCTGCAGTTACTATTATTACACAACTTATTCAGTCCATAATTGTAACGTTAGACCATAATCATGACAGCAACTCATCAAACAGGTGTGTCTTATAATGAATGCTGTGTCATCAGTGCCCTTTGTGTTGGCCTTGTTTACAGACAGCACGTCACAGGTGTAAATAATTCTGTTTAGCTGCTTCAAGTTCAGGTTCCTGGTATTGTGCATGCCAGCTCACTGTCATGCTGGCATAGCTTACTGGGACACCTGAATAGACCAGAGTCATCAATAATATAACGCCTGTGCTTTTCTTAGCATGACATGTCAAAATTGCCTATTGTGCATGCTGTTCACTTGCATACATGGATGGAGCAGAGGTAAATGAAGGTAAATGCTGGTTCTACACAATACTGACTACGTGTACCTAATAAAGTGTCCACTGAGTGTAATCCTTGTGGCACTGCTGTCTCACCTCAATACAAATGTGGTGCATCCCTCCAGACTTGTTCTTCTGTAAGAAACCAGCAATCGGACTTTTCTCCCCCAGAGGATGGAGTAGCTCCAGCTTAGTGTTTCCAAGTTCCACGAACACTGTGTAAACGCCGTGCTCTGGCAGAGGCACCTTGTCGCTCACTGTGGCCCCCAGTACGTCCCGATACAGAGCTGTGGCCCGCTCTATGTCAGGGACAGCGATGGCTATATGGTTCAGCCTCCCCAGTTTCCACAGTGATCCAGGAACGCTCTGATGGAGGGATGCTGTCATTGAATGTGCCCGCAAGCGTATGAGAGGAGAACATCTGGAAAGACCTGTCACTGAATAAAGAGTCAAATATAGTGAGATTAGTTGTAGCTATTATGTTGGAGCACTGGTACTAAAACTAGAGTTTTTACATAGTTTCTCCCTTCTTTTTTACTTCAAGAATTTTTAGTATAGGAAAAATCATCTTATTGTTTGACAATATCACATATATAGTAGCCAGAGTGAACCCAAGTCATGTTTTTAGAGGTGCACCACCCCATCAAATAGAAATGTAACCACTGTGAGTATGGTGAATACACACATTTCCCCCAATTTTGCCTGCCATTTGTTATCTTTGGAGTCTCCAGTAGATTTTACAATAAAGTTCTGTGTGTTTGAACCACACACTGCAGATCCGTTTTTGCATAACTATGTCAATGGAATTCCTTGTCATTTCAAATTTTTGTTGAAGAAAATATGTGCAATGCTGAATAAGTCAAGACTGAACTGTGAACTGAGACAAACCGAACAATATTCGGCAAATTGATCGTTGCCTGCATTTGAATAAAAGAAAGCCAAACACCTCGTAGACACAAAAATTATGTACCCAAACGCTGCAACAAGACAAACATGATGTGACGTGAACATATGGTTTAACAGTCATTTAACGCAGCCTCTGTTCAACAAGTCTGCAGTCTTGTTTGAGGCTGGACAATAAATCTGAAGGCGACCATATTGATTACGATTGCGAAGTACAGTACAAAAGGCGTATTTGGCAGGTGGGCAATAATCAGCGCAAATAATTTACTGTAGGGCACAAACCAACCTGCAACCTTCAGCGCGGCCGACGCCATTATTGTATCTCGGAACCAAGGAGCAGCGGAACAGTTTCTCGGCGGGCCTGTTTATCTCCGACACAGGCGGTCACACGTGGGGGGGAATGATGGCTAGTGGGGACGTTTGTAGCGTGCTAAAGGAGTGTGTTCAGACAATAGATGCCAATACAGCACAACCAGAAAAGTTTTTGAGGCAAGTGTTCGCTGTCAGCATGTTTGTGATGTTGAAAAAGTTGTTAAATGTTGTTGCAACGTTGTTTACGCATTTGAGGTAGCCCAGCTAGCTAACCATTAACTAAGGCTAACTGTATGAACTGCTAGCGTTAGCACCGCGCTTGATAAGAAAAAAGATGTCGCATTCAATCTTTTCGATGTTTTAAGGAGAGGTTGTAAGAGTTTTTATTATTTTCTAAGTCTCTGTTTGTCGGTAAAGGTAGTAGAAGTACTCAAATCCTTTACCAAAGTAAAAGTCTTGCATTCAGAATCCTTTCAAAGTAAGGATACATATTTTGCAGTTAAATGCCCCATGTACATGTGATTCACTATGATATTAGGTTCTGATCTGCCACTATATAAGCAGCACCCAAAGGGTCACCTGATAAATCTGAGGAGTCCTAAGATGATGACACGTTCTTATTTACCAGTGGACCCAACTACTCGCTGCTTTTTAACAGAAGAATAATTAGTTGCTAAAATTGACAGATGAATGTAGGGCTGTAAAAAGTACAGTATTTCCATCTGAAATGTAGCCAGTTGAGCAGAAATATGTTATTAGCCTGTTCAGAAATATGTTTTTTGAGTACAGTGCGCCAACAGTGAAGATCACCATAGTCCTACCCCCAACTTCTTGGGTGTCTTTTGGGCAAATTAAAAATCCCTTCTTGATTTTAATAATACATCAGACTTGCCGTGCTGACTATGTGTTTCCACCTTTGTAGCCTTCAAGATGGAGTGGCAGCAGACTTTACCTCTCTCACTAAGACCCTGTATGATCTCCACAAAGCTCAGGAGCCAGCAGATTATAAAGGCAGCCCGTTGTTGCAACTGGTGGTGGAAAATTTTGATGAAGAGCAGATCTGGCAGGAGCTGGAGCTGCAGAACAATGCTGTACTGAAACACTTTAAAAATGCCATTGATGAGGCTTTATCAGATGAGACATTAACAGTCCTGGTAAAGGAGGAGGAAAATGGCGATGATGAAGTTGAAGAGGAGGAAGAAGAAGCGGAGGAATCACCCAGACAGTCAAAGGAAATGGCTGTGGAGGCTGAGGGTGGGGCAGAGGATTACACAGATGAGGACTCGGATGTAGATTTTGATGTGGATGCTCTAGAGAAGCGAGAGAAGCAAAAAAGAGTGATTGGAAGGAAAGGCTCCAAAACAAAGGTGGTTCCCTCTGAGGTTGATGATAAGTTCTTCAAACTGACAGAGATGGAGTTGTTTCTTGATAATATGGACAAGCGAGAGGTAGAGGAGGATGAGGATGAAGATGGCATAGACTATTTTCAGGACCTGCCCTCTGATGTGGACGATGACCTTGACCTAGATCAAATCATGTCTGCCAAAAGGCTGAAGAAAAACATTGTATGTATTTTATCATTTGTTTTCACCTATTTAATTGTGTCCTGATGATACAGAGTACCAGAAATATATTAACTATTGTTAATACTAACAGGCAAAGAGCTCCAGGAATCTCAAGTACAAGGACTTTTTTGATGCAGTGGATGGTGAACAGGTTGAAGCAGATGACCAGTCAGATGGTGAAGATGACAGCATGGATGAACGCCCAGAAGATGATGAAGGAGAACTAGATGACGAGGAAGATCGTGATGGTGAAGAGGAGGGCGGCAGTGAGTAAGTGTGATTAAAGTTATGTAATTCTTTTAAATGGTGCTTGGGAGACGCACATTTAGTTGAGTTTGGTTGACTCCATCATGTCTGTGTTTACCCCTTGCCAGGGATAAAGAGACAAGTCAGCCCAAAGCATCTCACAAGAAAGTAACCTTTAACCTCTCTGGTGATGAGGACAGCGAGGGAGAAGACATGGAGGACATTTTTGGTGGAAAAACTCCAAGCTCAGCAAAGTCTGAATCAAAGTCATCATTTGAGAAACGGCAAGAAAAGGTAACAAATTTTAAAATGTTGACAATTTGGTTTGCCAGTCCTTCCTTTGTTTAACAAAAACAAGGCAAACCTCTCTAATTAATCAGCATTTAATTTTGTCATAACACAAACTAGCCATACTAGGACTACATAAAATATGAGTGGTATGCTTTAATTGGGAAATGTGTTTTCAGTGAATAAAAGGAATACAACTAAGAATCTGATGCTGCACAAAGTGTGTTTGTTCAGCAAAAAGTTGAACCAGGCACAACTTGGGTTACAACACTGTCATCTAGAAGAGTGTGCCCATTTGGTGTGTGACATAAATAAATGACAGTGGTCTTAGGGGGCAGTAAAAATTCTCATTTCCATCTTTCTCACATTGAACCTGCAAGAGCAGACGTCTTTACTGCTCCTCTTGTCTGTTCTACGATTTTTCACATCTTCTACATTTTCAAGTCTTTGAACAAATTCTACAACTATTAAAATGCCTCCAAGAGGGAAAAGAGCTAATAAATCAGAAGCGAACGAGGATGTTGAAGCAGAAGAGGATTATATTTCAGCGGCGCAAGTAACAGAGATGTTGAGTCAGCAGAAGCAGATGTACACCGCACTGTTGAGCCAACAACAAGACAACTTCAAAGGTTTTGTGCAACTACTTATGGAGACAAATAACAAGAGACTCGACGACATGACCAGAGAAATACAGGAGATAAAAACGAGTTTGCAGTTTACCCAGCGAGATGTGGATGTGATTAAAGCAGCCATGGGTGAACAGAAAATACAAACCAAGGAAACAAGGGATGATGTCTACAAAACTTGTGAGAGTCTAATAGCCATAACGGATAAAATGGAGCATTTGGAAGTACAGTCCAAGCGAAAAAACCTGATCTTCGAGGGAATCAAGGAGTCAGCTGGAGAAAGCTGGACAGAAGCGGAATGTAAGGTGAAGGAAATATTAAAGGATAAACTGCAAATTCATCAAGAAATTGAGATGGAGCGAGCTCACAGAGTCGGGAAACCTTCTGAGCGGGGGCCGAGGGCGGTGATGGTAAAGTTGATGAAAGAGAAAGATAAGGCACACATACTGCAACAAGCAAAGAAGCTTAAAGGATCTAATATTTATATAAATGAAGATTACACCGAGTCTGTGAGGAAGAGAAGAAGGGAGTTGATGCCGAAGTTAAGGGAGGCCAGGG